GCCCAAAACAAACAAATTAAAATTACTTGAAAGATATAGAAAAAAATCAAATTTTTTCATTTTTTTCATGCACATAATTTGAGACTTTTGCTGTCAAAAATTACATTTAAGCAGTTAAAACTTCAAAATATTATATATTATTTGGCATGTATGATTAGGGCAGAAGTAAATGAAGACACTGATATAAAAAAGTTGAACAAAAATCCATACTGCATAAAAATATTGTGGTATTCTTTTCCAGTGTACATTTTTATCACAAAGAACCATAGCTGTGATTATTTTAAACTGGTGCACTTTATGGTGGATTTCATTCTCTTTATTACAAAGGAACTAACTACCCTTGATTTATTTATTTATTTTTCACATAATAAAAATAAGACAAATGTTGCTAGAATGTATGTGTATAAGTATATAAAATATCAGTATCGTAGTGTACCTCACCCACTAAATACCTGTCAGTAAACATCTTAGCGTAGTCATTTTCCCCAACCCCAAATGTCTGCGCGCGTGTGTGTGTGTGTGTCAGCTTGTAAACAGCTTATAGGAACCAAGAGGATTTCATAATGGAACAGGCCTAATGCAATGTAGCAGGAAATAGCGTAGTTATCACGTGGATTAGTCAAGCAAAAACCAACCCAGAAATCAACTTAATTCATTTGGAAAACCGGACCGCCAACGTCTCTTTCATATGAGGTAAAAATGAACTCTCTGGACATCCCCAAAACGCCTTAAATCAAGTGCTTAAACTAAGTGAGGTTTTTTACAGTCATCCAGGCATTAGCTCGTGCTGCCTTTTCCGTGATATTTACATAGCAATTCCCCCAGATTCCTGTTCTAAGTGGTCCGTGGAGTCTGCAGCCAAATCTCCAATTTAAATGTCCCATGAAAAAGCGCCATTATCCCCTCGTCATATTTTATTTGGGGGTAAATCTGGCCATATTGTTTTTGCATTTGCAGAAAAAGCATATTTATCATTGATCTGCTTTGGATTAACTTGGAATAAATGGGGCTGCGCTCTTATCTGTTCCAGTGCATTTTGTTGATGTTTCAGACTTGCTGGAATTATGAAGATACTCTTAGGTTTCATGAGGACAAAGGCTAGACTCATGTTTAAAGATTCACTGTGTAACTTTTCCAATAGTCTCACTGCAGAGCTTCACCCAGACCTACCTCTCCTACCTCTCTCTTGTCATCAAGTTGTCCTTTTGGCAGTAGATTGGCAAATACAGGGCTGAAATGATCCAAATGATTCTAGTGAAGATGCATGTTTGTGTCTCTTCAGTTTGTGTCTTAATCATGTGTGAATGAAACAATATTATAACACTGATGAGAAAATAGCATAATATAGGCCCTTTAAAGGTCATTAAAGGCGATAAATCTATCTTCAAATTGTCCAAAGTGAACGAATAAAGACACTTAATCTCCGGTAGATTTCATTTTTAATTTGAAATGATCTAGCTTTACAAAAAGTAAAAGAAAACAAAACAATATTTAACTGTCAACATAGGCCTACATGTACTAGTACAAGAGCATGAATAGCATTGGCATATGAGATGTATTTTGTCTGTGAATGTGTTGCCGTAGGCCCCGTGTCTGGTTAAGATTAGACACATTAATAAAACAATGTGAACTTTAGTAATATTACAGTGACAACTGTCATGGTTCGTGTTTTGTAGTCATTGTTTTTGCTTATTTTGGTGTATCTTATTAGCCAGGCTGGTGCCAACTAGTGCCTCTGCTCAATTTCATTTCTCTCCAGCGACTTGGTCTGGAATCAGAATACACTAGACGGTTTGCAAGAACCCTGGGAGTGCGAGTTCAGGCACCAGCCAATCAGCGAAGAGCTATACATTCTGTATTGGCAATGATTCCTGAGATGGCAGATTTAAAGCCGGAACAAAGAGAATGTTTGTTGAATTTTATCAAGGGGAAAGACGCTATTGCCCTTCTTCCTACAGGATTTGGGAAAAGCTTAATTTACTAGTTAGGCCTGTTAACGGCGCGTTACATACATCACGACCAAATAGCAGCGATTGGTTAAATTTTAAAAAAGTACCCGCCTACCGTCGAGAGAACGAATTCTAATTCTCATTCGCTTCATGGAAACTGTGTGATGAATCAGGCTTAGTATCTTATTCCTTTAGTGGTGTGTGCCCTTGGTGTTTTATTTTGACATTTGTCCTGTCTGCTGTCTGTTGATTGTTTGCCCCGCCCCAGTGTGTTTCACCTGTATCTGTGTGCATATATACCCTCCTGCGTTCTCCTCTGCCCTTTGTTGGTCCATTGTCATTGTCAGTGTCTTGTCTTATCATGGCAGTTTAGTTTAGATTTTTGGATTTATGGATTTTTGGGTCTTTTTGTTTGTTATTAAAGAACTTCAACTGCAGTCCTGCATTTAGGGTCCTCACTCTCTTTCTCCTTTTAAATCATGACAGAAAACAGCATCAGGGCAGGAAACAGTCCTCTTAGGCTTTTTGACATGGCCACTGTTTGTTTACTTTTAGGAGCATGTGGATGGAGGTCAGCAGGTTGTGTCTTCTGAGTGGTCTGCAGCCATTCTTCCACTTTTCTAGTGCCTGTCTCTATGGAGATATCAGTGCTTTGCCTGAAATATTTCACAATATAGCATTAAAATGACCTAGAATACCTTGAAAAGCATGTCTTCTTTACTGTTCGCAGCCTCGTCTCTCCACAGATCTGATCTTTAACTTAACCTGGTGTTGTGACCTGCTTGTCTCCATGGAGATAGACTGGTTTAATGCCATAGTGTGTGTGCGCCACATTCTAGGCAAAGTAAAAATATCTCCATGGAGACAGATCGACGTGAAACCTCCACCAAAAAAGTTACAGATTGCACTTAATGTACTCCAAGTTGTTTATACCACTGAAATGAGTTTTGAATAAGCTTTTGGCCGTTCATGGATTATCAAACCATTACTTATTTCTGTTTTACTTGAAGCTAGTCCCTTTCTAACAGTAGTTAATTTGTTGCTATGGTGACGCTCACAGTATAGAGATAGAGAAGAGTGATTAAGTGTTGCGGGACGACCTATGCAGTTACTCAAATGTAATGCACAGGAGTGAGCATTAGATTTCTCACTGATGTGGTTTAATACTACTTCATCTAGGCCTATGTTTTTAGTTGCAAGAGGACGATTAGTTGTAAACTAGTCTGACAAAGCAGTAATTTATACATGTAATTTATGCAAAACATCTCATATTTCTATCACTGTGGCACTATGATGACCTTTATGTATGACTTGAAATTCTTGTGTTGTTTTTGAGCTGACTCATTCATTCAATATATTACCTTTTTACTTATTAATGCTGATGTTATGGTTATGTAATATGATTTGTAGAATTAGAGCTGTTGCCTGTGGACTCACTCACCACAGTAAAGTTCCTCTCCGGTAAAAGCGCTGCATTTTATTTTGTGTATTTTTTATGTAAAGGAACAGTGTGTAACTTTCTGGAGGAAGCACTGCATGATTCCATGGAAATAGAAAGTTAAAACCAAATGTCAGAACTTTTTCTGAACATTGTCCATGGGGGATTAATGCGTTTTATGCCATACTGTGGAAGATTATTAGCCTCATTCATCAACCAGTTTCACTTTGTGGAAACTGTCTGACCTCGCAGCATTAGGATTCATTCGCTTGACGATAGGGGGGTAATTTTTTATTTTAACAATCGCTGCTATTGATATATTAAGATTTTCCCAAATTCCCTAGGAAAAAGGGAACGTCTTTCCCCTTGATAAAATTCACCAAACATTCTCTTTGTTCCGGCTTTAAATCCTCGATCTCAGGAATCATCGCCAACACAGAATCCAACTCAACCGCTTTGTTTACTGTTGTGCTGTACCACAAAAGGGACCCAGGCAGGCGCTCGTGTTTGATGTCATTGTTTCACAGCTCTTTGCTGATTGGCCGGTGCCGTCTTGCAAACCGTCTAGTGTATTCCGATTCCTGACCTAGTCGCTGGAGAGAAATGAAACTGAGCGGAGGCACTAGGTGGCACCAGCCTGGCTAGAAGATTAAAGCCAAAAGAACAAATCAGGAGGGCTCCCTTCAGGCCAAATAAGAGTCAGGTTTGTGGAGATGCAAGCCTGCTCACAGTATGGGCAGTATGTTTTTCTTCATTTTTAGAGCAATACAAATAACCAAAATGAAAAAAAGAAAATAACATGCTTTTATTTTAGTCTATTTTGGGGCTATAAAGTGACATACTTTGGTTTTATATTGAAAAAATAAAACTAAATCAAAATCAGTGAGTGGTGTCTTACCAAAACTGAGTTCTGTTACTTCTTACCCATTTTATCTTCCATTCCCAGTGATTTTGCATGAAGGTCTTTGCCGTATAGAGCTATTGTTTCAGCCACACAGCAGCTCTTGAGAGGCCCAGACGCTGCAGATAAGCGCATCAGCCATTACCGGGTTCCTCCTTCAGACCTATTAGGTCTTGCAAGGACTTCAAACACCAATTTGTTCTGCAAATAGCCCATTCAATTTGTGGCTGCCAGGGAGAGACACCTCTCTCCCTCTCTGCAGTAATTGAATCTTCAAAGGGACATTTTCCTCTATTTCTGTCAGGTATTAGAGTGATGAATAGCAAGCGGTCATTTGAACAGAGAGAGTGGCTACATGTTTATCCATTTTCAGTTAGACGCTCATCATGTGCCTTGATGATTGCTGGGCTGCACACTCAATGGCGTCTTTAATAGAGTTTTTGCATTCTAAAGCAGACGACTCCTATCAGCTTTTTGCATGAAAGATAAATTCTTGTAGAGTGGCAAATGGGATCTCGTAGTAATTATGCCATTCAGACATAATGGTGCCTGTGAAAACACTTCTCTGCTAAAAACAAGGCAGTCAGACATCATGACAGCGCCGCGCTAAGTGTCTCCGCACCCGTAATTAGAAAATCTGTAAACTCCGCTGAAGTAAATTGCAAGTTGGGAGTAAAATTCTCAAGAGCAACAATGAAGTTAAGGAGTCGTAAATTGTCCATATTTTTTATTAATTAAATACACCATAGTGGAGCAAATGTCTCGGAAAATATCACAAATAAATTCTCTTTCATTCAGCATTTATATGTTGTTGATGAGTTCTACATCGGTGACTATGGGCATGGTTCTTGTGGGGTTGTTTTTGGGGGTACAAGGAGAACCGGAGCTGGGATGTCCTGTAGCCACGACATTTACATGCATACTGTACATACATGGGAACTTTTACAAATACACCAAAGTCTCATGATTTGTTTTGCACAAAAAGCCACAGATTTTAAAACCCATCTTTTTTATATATACCACCAAAAAACAAAAAAACAGTCCCCTTTTGACAACTTTTTCAAATATAGAAACACCGCGTTGTTTCGGGGGGAGGATAGAAAAGGAAAAAACATGATCCCACTTTCTTCTGAAGTCTTTTAACAAATGCGCAGAGTTGAAAAGTCTGCATTAGTCCATTTTCCACATTTTCCGATCTCTCCATCCGAAGAGTCTGTTAAGTTTCTGATTCTTTCTTTCTTTTTTTTTTCTAGTCCGCGCTCACGTAGAGTCTTTATCCAGGTGCATTAAGTGCAAGTATCCAGTAGCCATAATCGGGGAGTGGGGGAGGCTGAGCGGACGGGTATGGGTTACTGGGATGGTTGGAGGATTCCTTGAGGGCAAAAAGAGCCTGGGATCCACTCTGTCTCGTGTGACAATGAGTTAGGGCGAAAATGAAGGCACACATCCTGCTGCTCCCTCTCTCTCTTTCTCTCTCGAGCTCACCCAAGGCCGGCCTAACAAACCTGCATGGCGGAGACACAGAGTAGAGAGAAAAAAAAGAGAAGATGAACAATCTGGCAACCCGTCATTCACAAAACACCGCTGAGCTGACACGTCAACTTTCGCCGGTCCCACCGAGGCCCCAGCGTTCATTTATTGATCAGCCAGCCTTTGAAAACCATCTGGTGTCCCATTTACTGTGCATTAGACCTGGGACAAGCCGAGATTCTGATGGGATGATAACCTTGAACAATGGGAGTATACAGTACATGGCTCATACACTTTATTATATTATTTTCTATGTTGTTTCTTAAAGGGCTCATATTTCACCATTTTCTAATCTATGTTATAATGTTGTTTCCTCATCAAAAACAGACCTGGAGTTGTGTTTTTGTTGTGTTTCATTCACATGTTTAACACAAACCCTGCATATTTAAGATGAGTTCTTCTCTCAAACTCTAAACACTCTGTTCCACCTCGTGATGTCATGTGGTAATACAGGAAGTGCCCCACTGTTCTTTTAAACTCCATACACCTTCACTAGAATCATTCGGATGATTTAAGCCCTGGATCTGCCAATGTCTACTGAACAAAAGCTAAAAGGGAGCTGTTAACTTGAAAACTACAGTTTTATGACCTCACAAGGTGGAAGCATTTTGAGCTTTGGAGATGAAGACAGACTAATAAATGGGGATTCATCAAACGTGTGTGAATGATACAAAACACAACTTCAGGTATGTTTTGAGGAGATAACATGGTTTAAAGCTCAATTTTGTGTAATATAAAACCTTTAAGAAGTTAATTTTGGTAATCCACAAATATATAAAAGTATTTGTCTAGATTTTTAAACAACTTCTCAACACCTTTGTACCTTTTTCACATTACACAAAATAAAATTAAAAATAACCTATGTAAAAATGTGACGTATGTGCCTTTTTATGTTAAGTTTTAATCTATAAAAAGACAACCTAACATGAAAACAAGCAATCCTGTCCAAAAACATGTGAACTTTGTGAGAAGCTTTGTGGGTGTTTGTGTTTTGTTCTTACATACAGACGTAAGAATTCCTCGTTAAGTTTTATAAATGAGCCCCCAGTCCATGTTGTCAGAAGAGTAAACAGTTTAAAGGAGACTAAACACAAAGGGATGCTGCCTGGATTACCACCTGGTGACATCACAAAGTGGGACGCCTGTGCATGAACCAAGATGTGATCTAGTTTACTTTAAAGCTTTGATACTACATTCTAAAAACTCAAAATTGATGCTTTAAACTGTGAACATAGCAACCATTTGGTAATTCGTTCAGGTTTACAAAAGACCTTGGCCTTACTTATATTACACAAAATTGACTCTTGTGAGCTTTCAGAAATTTTAGAATGTTTTACCTCCTCAAAAACAGACCTGCAGATGTGTTTTTTGTTCTGTGTGTTCTGAGCAATCCTTTTATTACTAGTCTCTGTTCTACTTTGTGACACCATGAAGCTGTTGTTTTCAAGTTAACAGCTCGTTTTTACCTTTTGTTTTAACCGAGATTGGCAATTCCAGGGCTGAAAGTGTCCAAGTGATTCTAGTGAAGGTTTATGGAGTTTAAAAACACAGCGGAGCACTTCTTGTATTGGTGGATCAGAGTGTTTTTTGCTAAAACTCAGCCTAAATATAGAGGATATGTGTGTTAAACATGCGCGAAAGAAACAAAACAACTCCGAGTATGGATTTAATGAGGAAACAACCTTAAAACATTGATCAGAAAATTGCGTAATACAGGCACTTTAACCTCTCTGTAATTGGGGTAAGCTGTTTAGAAGCCATGACTGCATAACTGAACTGTGTGTTAGACTTTTATAAGGGAACAGACTGTCTTGAGCCTAGAATCTACCTTCAAACCACTGTGTAGATCATCCTCCACCATCGCTGACACATCAACCGCAGGCTTCAGTGGGGCCTTGTTTAATTTATTGATCAGCCAGGCTTTGAAACCCATCTGGTGTCCCATTTACTTTGCATTAAGTTAAAAGTGCATCCATGAAGCGATTCTCTTTGGTATAATTATAACGGCGTTCCGACATAACCGCGGGAGGTGCCGGGCCCTGCGAAACTGAAAACTGCAAAAAATGCCGCGGAGTAAAGACAATTATCCGTCTTGAGTTCAACTTTTTCATCTTTCTTGTTTTTCTTTTGCCCTTTTTACACGATTCTGAAGAGTGATTTACTTTCCCCTTCATCCTTCAAATGACTAGGAGGGCTCGAGTCTATTAGTAATTGCAAACTCCTACTTGGGGGCTAATTAAAGTGACTGACGCTGGGAGGGTCTCACTCCCCTGGGTCAAAGCTGCTCTGTAGGAGAGAGGTAATTTGTCTGCTCTGAACAAAGAGATTAGGAAGAAGCCGAGAAGAAAGCTTAATAAATGAGCATCAAATGTCCTATGCTGTGAATGCACACTGCACCAATTATGTGAGCGCAGAATCGCACATAATCAGAACTATGGCAGACTGGAGATAGCGCTCTTTTCGTACGAGCGGTGACTGCTTAAATCTCCGGCCTATTCGTAGCGCTGACCCAGCCCGCATTATAATGTTATCTCAACGTCTCAATTAATGTTAATGTTATCTCATCAAAAACATACCTGGAGTTGTGTTTTGTTTCATTCGCAAATGTTTGGAGACGTAGACAGACGAATAATAAATGATTAGTCAAAATTCAAAATGTTCTGGTCCACCTTGTGATTTCATGAAGAGGTTATTTTCAAGTTAACATCTATATTTTACCTTTAGTTTAGTAGAGATCAGCAATTCCAGGACTGTTTAAATCTTCGGCTTATACGATATCCAAGTCTCCAAGTCTATGATATCATCACGGTATGAACCTCACGGTACGATATTTATTGTGGGAAAGCTCATGATATGGTGGAGGGGCTCATGATTAGGGATGTAACAAGATTCAAATCTCTTGGTATGATATTTTCACGATATACATCTCACGGTACGATATTTATTGCGATATTTTGTGGAGGCTAACAAAACCTCTAGTATGCGACTTTTTCCTCTTAAAATGCCTTAACAAGACTTAATCCAAAGGACTAAGACTTAAAAGTGCTTAAAACTGTTATTTCTTCTTGGAGTCTGCACTGAAACGGAGCAAAGAATCATGGTCTATGTAGTTCCCTCTGTCTTTTTTTAGCCATTGCTGCATCATAACTCTTCATTTAAACAAAGAGACTTGTAATATGATATATTGTGATGGTCCACGATATTATTGTGAGAACTCTGATGATGCTATAACACGATATGTCGGTTATTGTTACACCCCTAGTTATTTCAATGTCTCAGTTAATATTAATTAGTAGTTAGTTATCTCATCTCAACATACCTCTAGTTGTGTTTCATTCACACATGTTTGAGTTATCCTTCTGTTATCTACATCTCCAAAGTTCAAAATGTTCTGTTTCACCTTGTGATGTCATGAAGTGGTTATTTTGAAGTTAACATCTATGTTTTACCTTTAGTTTAGTTGAGATTAGCAATTCCAGGGCTGAATTTATTCATGTGATTCTAGTGAAGGTGTATGGAGTTTAAAAACACAGTGGAGCACTTCCTGTATCACCAGAGAATCGACAATAATCAGAACTATGGCAGACGGAAGATCGCCCTCTTTTCGTACGAGCGGTGACTGCTTAAATTTTCTGCCTATTAGTCGCGCTAGCGTGTTATAATGTTATCTCAATGTTTCAATTAATATTAATTATTAGTTAGTTATCTCATCAAAAGCAAACCCGGACTTGTGTTTTGTTTCATTCACACATTTGAGTTATCCTTCTCTTATTAGTCTGTCTACATCTCTAAAGCTCAAAATGTTCTGTTCCACCTTGTGAAGTTAACATCTACGTTTTACCTTTAGTTTAGTACAGATTGCGAATTCCAGGGCTGAAAGTATTCAAGTGATTCTAGTGAAGGTGTATGGAGTTTAAAAACACAGTGGAGCACCTCCTGTATCACCAGAGAATCACTCACAATCAGAACTATGTCAGATTGAAGATAGCCCTCTTTTTGTACGAGCTGTGACTGCTTAAATCTCCGGCCTATTCGTAGCGCTAGCCCAGTCCGTGTTCTATATTCAATTTAGGCTGTGCAGCTGAGGATACATGAGCGATATTGATTTGGAGAAGCGCTCTCTGCAAGCTGTTGTGCTGTGGGAAGTAGGAGGCCGTCCAAATTCTGTTTCGGTGAAAAGGGGAATGTTTGTGTGCTAACGCGCTTTAGCAGCAGGATCATTCTGCTTTATTTCACTCAACAAAAGCATCCTGAGACAGTCCCGCTGCGCCGCGCCTCTCTGTTTATTTAATAATTCTCTCTCTGCTATAATTAAAGCACCAGGGCCAATATTCAGATTGCATTTTAGCATCAATAATTCAGCGCTTTTCACTACAATTGATGTTAGCGCATAAATAAGGAATGAAGCCTCGTATTTACTAGTGCGGCTGCGGTGCGAGGGGAGACGGGCGGGGAGGAGTTAAACAGGCATTTAAAATTAAGCTAGATAATGCTTTCAATTTGGATGTGAGCGCACTAAGAGCTGATTTGTAAAAGTGACAAGGCCCTAAAAGGAGTGCGGGGAGGATGGGTAATGTAGTCCCACTTCCACTCGCAAACCACTCAAGGTGAAAGCGTGCTCCTAACCCCCGTATCTGTGAGCGGCGCAGGTATCAATAAAGCAGCTTGTTGTTGGAGCAAAAATGATTACATCTCCTGCAGGCACAATGAAGCTATCCTGAAGAATGAAGTTATCCAGCGTATATGATTAGGCCTTCTGTTTCGCTTTCACTAGAGGCATCCAGATCAAATCAGAGGGTAGCCATGATGACAGCTCAGTGATGGAGGAGCTGCTGCCGCCTGGGGCCCCGGATACAGATTTCGGGCCTCCCTGTAATAACTTAGCACAGGTGATCCCAGTCTTGTTGACAGAGTAGTCAAACGGGGCTTTAAATGCTCTCTTCACGGCCAACCGCTCATCTGTCAGCGCAAGAGG